TCGTGTGTATAGCGAGTACACTATTTGTCGGACGATCACTCAGGTTTGCCTTTAAAATTAGGACTCCCGGAGCTTTGCCCAAACTATGAATGCCAGTTTTCGGGGTTCTCGGTAGTAATTAAAAACCAGACGAATCGCATCCAAGAATTTCGCTTAGATTTTTGCTTTTTTTCTTTTTTCAATAAACCTTTGAATCCATCAACTCGCTCGAACGACAAAATTAAAATAAAACAACGAGCGTACACCGAAACGCGTTTGGCTCTCATTAGACATCAGACACCAATTAGCCCTTCAAGTTTAAACTGCGATTAAAAAAAAAAAAAAAAAAAAAAACCTCCAATCGCGAAAGAACAAACGCGTGTATCCTCCGATTGAACGCCAATACCGTCACAACTAATTGCGCGATCCAATTAGCATTAATTAGCGATGGCTCCGCGTTTCAGAAAAGGAAGCGGCCCGATTAAACCATCGCCGGTGGATAAAACGAAATTTCGTTCACCCAATCGACTCGTCGGCAATAAGCGGCTCTCGAAAGTGCCAACTAATGACGTGTTTTTAAATTGATCGCGAAAAGTCGCGCTAATGAATCCCCCCCTCCTCCCGTGTCACTTGATAATACACACGTTTGCGTTAAATACACATCGTACAACGAGATAAAATTTATACGGACCACGTTTCTATGCAACAGTACGTATAGCGGCGTATGTAAGGAATCCAGTCCCACGCCCAAGACTGACCGACGCTCCGCAGTTGAATGGCATTCCATAGGGACGGCAAGGACCCGTAACTAAAACATGAAGATCCTAATTGACTCGAGTTTGGCTCGAGTCGGAGTAAAGTCGTTCACGCCGCGATTAATGTTCCTCAAAGCAATGCGAAATCATAAGTCTACACCGAGGTATGTATAGACATCAAAGCGCGTTACGTAAATCAGTCGCGCCTCCGCGGAGAAAATAAGGCGTGGGAGCAATCGTCCTTTGATGTCCTCGGCAGTGCCAACCCAGAAGGTAAATGATTTTTGCGAAACGACGGGAAAATCAACCATCGACGGTACACGGAACAATCGCGAATATACATATATATACACACCCCCGATGCCGAGCGAATAAGAGAAAAGCTCGGAGGAGTTGGCGACACGCGCCGGGAACTCTTCCATTCGGCGAATCAATTCGAGGAACCCTTTGACGGGCAAAAAAGAGAGACTGTGACAATTAGAGCCGGGAGCGCGGAAATGGAAAAGGCTTGTTTTTCGCGGGCGTATTCACCGATGGATTTTCAAGCGTGACGCGCGGGAGAGCCACTTCGACCTCTTTGGCGAAACTTTGGCACTCGACCTTCCCCCTGTATATAGGTGGGGCTTTTCAAAGGGGCCCAAAGAGCTTCAGTAAGGGGGAGGGGAATATATTTATTGCCGATCGGACTTTCGAGTGATTGTTTTTCCACTCCCGGTGTATACCCATTAGTGCGTACACGGTGGCTATGCGAAAAACTCGACAATCCGACACCGCCAACAGTATATACAAGCGACACTGATGTAGGGTAAAGGAGAAGAAAAAAACAGCTCGTCGCGTACGCATCGGGAGGAAGGGAGCAAGCCACACTAGGTACATTCCCTCGAAGGAAAAAAAAGGCGTCCAAGAGACGGCAACGAGCGTCTTTTTCACACGCGCTCGACTACGTGCAAGTACGAAGCACATCAGGTAGCGATAGAGAGAGAGAGAGGAGTAGAGTAACCTCAAATTTTCCTCTCCGCGCGCCATCATCGGAGACATTCGAAGCCGACAATCAAAGACATCAACGTCAGGTACTCGTCAAAAGCGCCCCGGTGTACACGCACGGGCAACAGAGAGAGAGAGAGAGAGAGAAATCGTTGACCACCCCTTTCATCTCCCCTGGCCCCTTTGTATGCGTGTGTATGCGGGCCCCGGGGCTTTTTTTCTTCCCTTCCGCGTGTCACGTATCGAGGTAACACTTTCGCCGCCCTGCGTCATTGTGTCGCCCTTATTTTCGGACGGATGGATTGTTGTTTGATTTTTTTTTTTTTTTTTTTTTCCCTCCTTTTTCCCCCGAGTCGGGGAGCTCGGTTTCGAGGTGGATCGTCGATCCGAGATCGGGCTGACTTGTTGGTATTGTTCGGGTACATCCGCGAAATGTTTTTGTAGCGGAATTAACGTTTTTGTCCCACTCCCTTTTGTCGGCCGGGACTTTGATTGGCTTTTAACGAATATATTCATGGATTCGGCGTGAACTCCGGTGCCGGAGACTGTATTTTCGAGAATCGGCTTCCTCAAGTGTTGCGTCATTGATCGGTAATGGAGAGGTGTTCAATCGACCGTTGCTTCTGTGTTTATTTATACCATTTCGGGAAATCCCGCCAAGGAAAATTTAATCAATAATTTTCTTTCCATTTCTTGCACGACGGTTACCGTGGCGTTAAAACGATGATGAAATATGGTCATTTGTCAATTCTCGTTTGCCAGCATTTTTCGATTATTTAGTTTTTATACGGAAAAATGTGAGACAATCAACTGTTAAAAAGGACACGGAAGATGAAATTCATAAGCTGCAAGACAACATTGAACGTCTGTTTCATTGAAAGGCTCAAATGCGTACAAAGCACACGGCTCAGGTCAGGTGCAAGGATAGGAGAAGCAAATGGGGGAAAAACAATGTACAATAACTATGTGCAACTTGTATATTTACAAAACTAAGAGGAGCTACCTTGTCAGCTGCCCTGAGTCAACCGAACGTAGAAATTTCGCAGATCAAGAAGTGTAATTGTACTACTAATATGCTAAACGTTGGATTCGTGCAGGTGACAGCCGTTGTTTTGATTTGTGTGTAAGTTCATAATATTTATAAACGATAAGCTTTGCAACTAAACGAGGTATTTATGTATAAGCATGATGTAAACTTTGTTTAGTACCGTAGGAAAACATTTGGAACGATTTTTGCATACCAAAGAAAATATTAACTGTAATCTTAATAGTAACATTAATAAAAAAAAAAAAATAAATAAACACTTGTTCTAAGCTAAAATTTTTATGTTTGTTCTTACCTTGTATACCAACAACGTACACCGAAACGCGTTTGGCTCTCATTAGACATCAGACACCAATTAGCCCTTCAAGTTTAAACTGCGATTAAAAAAAAAAAAAAAAAAAACCAGCAAAAACAACTGATACATTAATCATCGAAGCAAAAAATTTATTGACACCTTGAAAAATCTGTCTCCATCACGGAACCCTCTTAATTAATCAGAAAAAAAAAAAAAAAAAAAAGAAAAATAGAAACGGCCACCGTCAACTCACTTTTACAACAAAAACATGGATACTTCTCACCTAGACGTAGTGTGAAATCTCTCGGAGCAGCCAGCCATTTATATAAATACGCGTGTATCGACACCTCAACAATAGCCCCGGTATTTTCTCAACAAAAATCCCAAGCCGCGCCATCCATCCGCTGCACACCCTTCCCGCACCTCCCATACTTTGCTCTTCTTTCCAACTCTCTCTCTCTCTCTCTCGCGCATTCATAATAACACCAGCGCCGGGGCTCACCCATAACACACTTACAGCCGCGGCCACCCTACGCACGCACCTATCCGCCCATCCATCCGTAAGGGCTAACTTTTGGCCTAGCGTAACTACCCTCTGTTTAGAGGGCAATTGTGCTCTCGTTTCTCTCTCTCTCTCTCCTCCAGCCCCGTAGCGAGAGAAGCCCCGCTGGCACTGTTGGCCGTTTCTCGGACTCACTTGGGTTCCCGCGCCGCACTTACCTCGCACCTATACACGTTCATAATATGTACCTACCAACCCCTTGTGTGGCTGCTGCCCCATACGGTGAGAGCAGCCGAGTTTTCATCCGAGTTTCCGCTCTCCTTTTTTTTTTTTTTTTTTTTTTCCTCTTCTTTCAACATCTGAGGCTTCTGTGTGTGGTGTTGCCAAGAGAGAGACCCTCGAGAGCGACGATCATTAAATTAGGCGAGCTGAAAAGGGTTGGCGCTCCATCGAGCGCACCGAATGAGTTATTGTGTCAACTTCTTCCTCCTCGGCGGGCTATAATGAAATTTCGATTTTTTTTTCTCTCAGCGCTGCCAACCCCTTTCCCCTTCATTCTTTTTTTTTTTTTTTTTTTTTTTTTTTCTTTTTTTGATAAATCGTTTGCGGACAGTTGTTTTTTGTGTCTCCTTTCCTTAGCTTTTTGCTAATAGTTGGCTGATTTACGGCAGGGATGATAAGATCGCGTTGTCGGGAGAGGATGAATGATGTTCGTGCGGGTATCTTATTATTGGGCATAATGAGGGGGACGAAGGATATTAATGTTTTTGTGAATGGCGACGCGTGAATTTGCTACGATGTAATTTTTTTTTTTTTTTTTT